GGGGAGGCTCTTCCGTGGATGCAGGGGGCCCAGACCTGAGCAGACCTGGCTGCTGTAAAGCGTACGTGCGGGGGCACCTCGGGGGTGTGTCTGGGGGCTCTTCTTAACTCTGTGGTCTTGCTTGTAGCCTGATCCAGCTGGAGGCGTTCCTGAGTGGGATGTGCTGCAGCTGTGAGGCAGCATATCGTGTGCTGTACTGGGAGAACCCCGCTGTCTCTTCCCAGTGAGTAGCTCTGGCTCAGGTGTGCCGTACTGGGCTCACAGGGTGGGCTTGCGGGGGAAGAGGGGCCTGCGGAGCTGGGGTTAGTGTGTTTGGTACGTGGAGGGCCAGGTGAAGGAGGGTGTACCTGACTGGGGTGGGGAGGGAGGGGTTGTGCTGTGGGGTGAGGTTGGTGGGCTGCTCTGCCTTGACCCCTATGTCCTGCCGCCCCTTCCCAGGTTCTACGGGGCGTTGCTGGGCTCTGTGTGCGTCCTGTATGTGCTGCCCCTCTGCTGGGTCCTGGCCATCCTAAACAGCACCCTCTTCTTGGGCAATGCCCAGTTTTACCATGGTAAGAGCCTTCCCTGAAGGTGCCTGCTGCATATGTGGGATGGGATGGGGAAAGGCCCTTTGAAGTTAGGGGTCCTGCCCTTGCCCTCTCCCCGTGCTCTGCTGTGTGCCCAGTGCCCCATGCCAGACTTCACTGCAGGTCCCGGATGAGCCAGAGGGCAACAGGATGGGTGAAGGGAGTCTGGGGCCCTGAGCTGTGAGAGGCAGCCCTCTGTCCTTGTGTCTGTCCTGGCCTGGGTGCTCTTTTCTGGCAGACTGCTGCCCTCTGCACTGTAGCAAACTGGGACCTGGCTGTGCAGCCTGTGTGTGAGCCTCACCACCCCTCTCTGTGCCTATCATTGAGCGCCTCTGAGCCACAGCAGACCTTGAAATGCTCTCGGTGCCTGTGGCAAATGCATGGTACTGGCCTGGAATCGTGCTGTGGGAGGGCAGGAGAAGAGCTGGAGGCTCTTGTTCTGTGGCCCGTGTTGGAGGGGAGTTGGGTGAGATCCTAGCTGGTCTGTTAGACTAAGCTGTGTCCACTCCTCCCAACTTGAGTTGGGGTAGGTGTATGATTCCTTCCTGTTCCCAACTTGGCAGCTGGTCTAGCCTTGATGTGTGAGCTGAAATTTGTGCCCATGCTCAGGGAGTGCAGCCTGCCTGAAGTACTGGAGATTGGCTCTAGCAGCCAGCTTTTGTGGGGAGGGGCTGGGGGGGAGGTAAGCGCCAGCCTTCTCCAGCCCTATCCCCCTCTTATTAGTGATACTGGAGCTGAAGGCCTCGATCGAGCAGTGTCTGGGCACCAAACCCCTTGAGAGCGCTCAAGAGCCTGCTGACCCCCTGCCAGCTGCTGCCCCGCTGGAGCAGACTCCCACACCCACCAGCACAGAGGTGAGAGGGGGCAGGGTGGGGAGCTGTGGGGTAGGAGCTGCAAGCTCAGCCCTGTGGTCTGACTGTGCCTATGTCCTTCTTCCCACAAGCTCCTTCCAGTTGCCTCCTTTGCTGAAAATCTGTTTCTCCTGCCAGATAGCCTGTCCTGTGTTGCAAAGGGGCTGCCCTGCTAAGCTGGGGGTCTGGTTTGGTCCTTCTGCCATGTGCTCAGGCACCCCTCTGCAGAAGGGGGTAGGGGCTCACCCCACCATCTGGGACTGATGGTCGCTTGCCCTGGTACCTGTTCTAGGAGCATGGGCCCCTCTTTAAACAGAAATGGGGATACAGCAGGACTAGCTCTATGAATCTCTTACAGGACCTCACCCCTGGCAGTGTGGAGGAGGCTGAGGAGGCAGAGCCTGATGAAGAGTTCAAGGATGCGATTGAGGTTTGAGCCTGGTGGGGGTGGGCTGTGCCTGCTGGGCAGCTGAGGTGGGGAGAGCAGAGCCCTGCGGGGAAGGGGCAAGCACGGGGGTGTCTCAGCCCCTCGGAGGGCTGGCTGTCAGAGCGTGAGCTAGGTACTCAGGGAAACGGGTATGTGGCTGGGCACCTCTGCAGCCTGTCTCTATCTCTACTGCCTGTTCTCTCTGTCCCACGCTGCGGGGAAAAGGAGAACCAACTGCTGGTCATGGTGAGTACTGCCCTGCTAAGGTATGTGAGAAGGGCATCTCCTCCCAGCCAGAGCTGGCAGCCTCTGTCCGGCTTGGCCATGGCTTGTGGCAATGCTAGGTGGAGTAGCCTGCTGGTTTGGCACTTGTCTCTGGGCCAGGCTGCCTTTCAGCCCCCCAGGCAGTGCCCCCAGCCACCCCTCTGTGCTCAGCTGGCTCTCCGCTCTGCAGGAGGATGACGAGAGCTCTCAGTGTTCGTCAGAGTTTGACCTCAGCCTCCCAGACAATGGTTTTATGAGCAAAAATGAGGTGATTCGCAGCAAGGTGTCACGGCTGACTGAGCGCCTGCGAAAGCGCTACCCCAGCAACAACTTTGGTAAGGCTGGGAGTGGGTGCTGCTTGGGGAAGCTGAACAAAGTGGGGTCTGTGCTGCCCCTCGTGGGGACCAATGAACTGGGAAGGGTCAGAGTGGCCTGGTACCTACCAGGGCTGGGCTGGCACCTCCAGCAAGGCCCCCTTCTGTGGGAAGGATGTTCCCAGCTGTCCTGGGGAGGGCAGGGCTGGGGGGATGCAGCAGCGTGGGGAAGGCCTGATCTCTGAGCTGAGCTTTTACCACATGCTTGAGTGCTCCCATGCCTCTCGCTGGTCCCAGGCAGCAGAATTCTACCTGATCTCTCCCCTGTCTCTTCCAGGGAACTGCACAGGTTGCGCAGCTACCTTCTCTGTGCTCAAGAAGAGGGTGAGTCTTCAGCTTCTCCTCTCCCAGCTCACTACCTGTAGTGGGACAGATTTTGTGTGTCTGGCTTGCCCAGCTTTCTCCTGCAGCTCTGGTGGCTGGGCTCAGGCTAGCAGTGGGTGACTGCAGCTAAGTGCTGGGTGTTGTCATATGCCTGATGGTGTCAGGGATTCCTTGTGTTGTGGAGCCTCTGTGCATTTTGCCCAGACAGTGTGCAGCCTGGGCGAAGGGCCCTGCTCTAGGGACAGATTCCTGTGTTGTGCGTGTGCACCGCTTCACACACGGCACTTGCTCCTGTACACTGGTTAGCTCAGTTCCTGTGACGTGGACGTTCTCCAGTGAAGCAGAGCATGGGTTAGCTTGTAGGCTCACGTTGAAGTAGGAACAAAACTTGATGCCACTGTGTGTGGCTGGAGCAGCAAAGGCCACCCTTGTCTGGTCTGAGCCCTTGGGCAGGGTGCTTGTTGCACAGTCTCCTGGTCAGGAGAAGGATATGTTGTTTGCCCCCTGCAAACACACATTTCTGTCTTGCTGCTGCCCCCCGTTCTCCAGACTCATGGCCCTTTCCCTTTCTTCCTGGCTCAGTTTGATATGTGTTTGGGACTCTCCTGAGTTCACATCCCTGCAGAGTTACAGTGTAAGAAGTGGTAGATATACTGTGCCTGAGCCTGTGGTCCTGGTGCTTTCTCAGGCTGCCTGGGATGTTAGAGCATACCTGCATGCAGATCCAGTGTCAGTCTGTCTGTCCAGTGGTGTTTCTCAGGGAGGGCTGGGAGCAGGACCATCAGCTTCCAGTGCTGTTCATAGTGTCTCACCCCTATCTCTACCCACAGCGGAGCTGCAGTAACTGTGGGAACAGCTTCTGCTCCAGGTGTTGCTCCTTCAAAGTCCCCAAGGCTGTGATGGGAGCCACAGGTGAGTGGAAGATGGAAGAGACAGTCTTCCTGCTCTGACCTACGCTGTCTGCTGCCTAGATTTGGCCCTGCCCTGCCCACTGGGGAGTGGGTGGAGGATCTGCCTGTTATAGGCTGGCCCAGGGCAGAGCAGTGACAGTTGTATAGCTCTCAGAGCAGCTCCGTGCCCTTGGGTGATGTGCTGGGGAAATGGGGGGGGTCTCTGACAGCTGCTTTTCTTTCCAGCCCCAGAAGCTCAGAGGGAGACAGTTTTTGTGTGTGCTTTGTGCAACCAGGTGCTCATCAAATGACTGGAACAGGCCCGGTGAGCCTGTGGGCCCTGAACTGTCTGACATGGGTCCTGTACTGCCTCCTGGGCAGTGCTCCCACTGCCCTTGTTCCTGGGGGCCTAGGTCAGTTGGTTGCCAGCTTGGCATCACCTTGCCAGAGGACACTTGCACTTGTTGGTCCTGCCGCCAGTGTTGGCGGGGGGCAGACTGGATCTCCTTGCTGCACAGCATCTGCCACACCAGCTGGGTCGAAACAGAGCGCTGCCCACAGCCGTGCACCCATTGCCTCCCCTTGGTTGCCCTCTGGCAGCTGCTCAGTGCTGCTCCAAGCCCTGGGCACCCCGAGGTGTGGACTGTGCCCTGCCAGGTGGAGCCCAGGCTGTGGAGCCTGGCTCAGTGGTAGAGGAGCCGTCCTTCCTACTTTGAGTCTTACCTCTGTCCCCTAGGTGGGGGCAGAACAACCTCAGGGCTCTGCCCCAACCTTTCTGAGCACTGTGCTAGCTGACTGTATTTTTGGGATCAAGTTGGAGCTCTGCCTGCGTTCTGAAGAGATGTGGACCTGAGTCAGCTGAGCTCTGTTAGCTCTAGGCGCTCCTGTGCTCCTCAGCCTCATTGTGTCTAGGTCTAGTCTTTCCTCACCCTGTTTTTTAGCTGTAGCAGAGGCGTGGAGAGGGTAAGCCAGGGGCTCGGCTGTGCGGCTGGGTAGCTATAGTGAGAGGTGCGAGTTGAGCTGCTCTGTGTACTTAGTGACTGCTGCTTTCTAATAGAGATTAATATATAAGTGTATATAGAAAACAACCAATAAATCTCTTGTCATCAGTTGGCTCTTGTCTTGCTCTAGTGAAAGCTGCCCTGTTACCAGACCACCCCGGCATCTCTGTGTGTCCTTGGCATGCAGGAGATGGTACTGCCTGTGCTGCTGCCCTGAGTGGAGCAGTGGGTGCAAGTGGGGTGGAGATGGGGTGTTAGGTGCTGTCAGGACAGGCGCAGCATCAGCTATGCTGGCATCCTTGGTTTAAGGCTGTTTCTCTGCCCCTTGCTCGGGGGGCGTTGCGCCCCCCCCCCCCCCCCCAAAGCCACGACCCCTCCACCAGGCTGAGGCTATGCTGCCTTGTTCCCTTGGCTGTGTGGGTGGTGATAGTGCTGCGAGGAAGGAGGGGGGTGCCATACAGTGCTGGGGGGAGCCCCTGGCACCCCATGCACTGTTTCTGTGCAGGTACAGTGGTGGTGGGGAGGAAAGGAGGGGAGGTCTCTGCCAGGAGATGCCTTTGCTTACTGTGGTTTTCATCTGTCATACTGTGGCCTTGTCCGCCCCTGGGCTTGGAGCTGTGCGGAGCTGCCCGTTCCTGGCAGTACGAGGGCCTGATCCTGCTGGGCTGGCGCCAGGGAGCAGTGCAGCTCGGGTGGGAGTTGCTGGGCTTGCTCTGTGCTCCCCAGGGCTGCTGCTTCCCCTGCCCGGCCCAGGCGGTGGTCCTGGCAGCTGCCTGCGCTCACAAGGGTGACCTTTCGCTGCGTGAACAGCAAAGCTCCCAGCTATCCCTGGAATGTGACCCTGGCCGCTGTCCGGCTGGGAACGGCCCCGTGCTGGGTCCCTGCCAGCCAGCTGCTGCTATCGCCCTGCCGGGGGGGCAGTGCCCTCCAGCTGCCTGGCATTGCCCAGCACCCCCAGGGCCTCGACAACCCCTGGGCTGTGAAGGTGCTGGGTGTCCCCGCTGAGTCTGTGTGCGTCTGGGAACCCATCTGCGTGGGACAGGCCTGGGCTGCTGTGCTGGGCCCTGCCCTGAACGCTCCTCTTAGCCGTGGCCTCAGACACCAAATGGTAGGAGGCAGAGAGAAGTCACTTGTCTTTCTAGAGAAAACACTTGGCGAGATGAATGTGATGTCTGTGTATGTCTAAAAGCTCTTTAGAAAGCTATTGATGACGCATAATACAAAGGGTGACAGCTGAACCTGAACTGTGGGAGATGGGATTTTATTTGCCTACTTTAAGTTTTGTAATAAAGAGATAGGGGCAGAAAATCCCAGTTCCCCTGTGCTCCACGCTGCCAGGTAGAGGCTGGTGCCCAGCAGCAGGGAAGGGCTGCAGCTTTTGTACTGGCTTTGTAAGGATGTCACGGGGCTGGCCACCCCCTGTCCTTTGCTGGGCCAAGGGGCAGGCACGCAGCCCGACTGGCTGGAGAGAGATGTAAATGCCTTTTCTGGCCTCCCCTGCCTCTCTCCTCTGCCCTTTTCCCCATTTGCCACAGCCTCAGTGGCTGTGCTTGTTGTAAGACAGGGGCTGTGTGGGGCAGCCCAAAAGGGGGGTCAGT